TCCCATCTGTCAGTTCATCATATGTCTTCAGTGACAGTCCTGTGTGGCAAGCCAGGATGTCCCGGCAGAAAACCTGGGTAAGATATTGTTCTTTCTTGTTGGCATGTTTTGTGTAGGAGTCATCAGTGTGCAATAGCTTCTTGCCTTTTTTTTTTTTTTTTTGTGCCAGTTGTGGGGCTTGAACTCAGGGCCTGGGCATTATCCATGAGCATTTTTGCTCATTTGAGCTGAGGCTCAAAGTAGTAGAATGCTGGTTAATTGGAGATTAGAATCTCACAGACTTGCAAACCAGCCTCCTGGATAGGGAGGATTACAGGCATGAGCCACTGGCACTAGACACTTCTTGCTTCTTAAAGTCTGTAGTATACCTGGGGTTTTCTCTGTCCTTCTTTCTCTTGTTCTCTCTCTCTCTCTCTCTCTCTGACTCTCTCTCCTTTCTTTCCTTTCTTCCTCTCTCTCTCTCTATTTTTGCTAGTACCAAGATTTGAATTCAGTACACTTTGTTCTCTTCTCTGATGCTCTACCACTTGAGAGGCCTCTAGTCTTGCTTTTGCTAGTTATTTTGGAGATGGAGTTCAGGAGACTTTTCTGCCTGGGCTGGCTTCAAACCATGATACTCTGGTTCTCACTCTCCTTAGTTACTAGGATTTCAGGCATCAAATACTAGAAAACAAACTGGAAAAGAATGTATCTCTAGGTGTTGTTCCTGGTGACCCTGTACAGGTGTGTTAGGGAGTGAGCATGCTGCTCACTGGCTTGGGGGTGGGAGCGGGGGTGGAATCTGGTTTGCATTTCCAGAAAATTTAACAGCACTCCAGGGAAGGAGGTGTTCTGACCCAGTATCCTGGGGTGGGGGTGGGGGGTTATGGTGTGGTTCTGTGTGAAATAGGTAATTTTCATACCACACTGCCACACTCAGCGTTTGTGAGAATTTGTTTTTATACTTACATTTAATGGGGGGGGGGCGGGCGGGGAAACCTCTCATTGAACACACCTGGCAGACATTTCAAATTTCCTGCAGATTAGCCAAGGATTTCTAAATGAAAACTAAAAGCTGAAAGCTATGACACTATTAGAGATTAATTCACACTCTGAAAGGTTAGTAGTTCATATAAAGATTACATTACCTAGAGTTTGATCTTAGCAATAGAAAAGCTTTTTCCAAAAAGTTTAAAAAGAGAGGGGAGGAAGCCATGCCTGTAAACATATTTCTGACACATAGATAGCCATGATTATGTCCACAATTCAGTGATATAATTGATACCTTGCAAAAAGATTGTTAAAACAATTTAAGTAGTCAGAGTGACAAACTGGAAGTCTCCTAACAGGATTGTTAAAGATTTGAGGTCAGGAACTGCATCTCATGGTTGCTTATTTCCCTGGGCCAGGACTTCAGATACACACTTGATGTCGGTGAACACTCAGGGAATGGAAATTTACTGGGGCTCACTGCAGGGTTAGGCTCCACACACAAATTAGGCCTGCCCCATGGGGTTCTTCACAACAGCAGATATTTTATGAGCACTGTCTCTCTGAGTTGATTGCATTGACAAAATGAAACCAAGGGATCGTGTTTCAAAACCAAATCGATTTACTCTGCTTGATTTTACAACAACATTTCTGCTTTGGGTTGGGATTTGTACAAAATAACTTGTAATTTAAAGTATCTGGGTTCTATAAAGAATGGAGGTATTTTGTTTTTGTTTTTTAAAAGCAGATGAACCCAGCAGGCAAGTTGGCAGGAAATCTCACTGCAGTCCTTGTGGGAAAGGATGACACAGGCCACAAAGAGAAGGAACACAAGGCAGCCAGAGCTACTAAGGCATTGAGTAAAGTAGTTACAGAGCTTTCCAGGTTTTTCTGGAAAAAAGAAGAAAAGAAGAGTAAAGGGCAGCAAGAGGATTGGTTAATAATTGCCTTCAGAAAAGCTGACTGGTGGATTTACCTCTTGGTTTTGTTTTTCTAAGTCAGAAGTAAGGCAGTGTTTGGTCCAGCTGCTTGTTGGTAGGGCTTTGACCTCAGTCTGTGGTTTGGCAGCCCCAAGACCTCAGGGGCCTATCGTCCTGAGGAACATTAAAAAGGGGACAGCAAATACTCTCCAAAGACACGTGCATAGGTAATACAGGAGTTTTGTTTCATTTTACTTTTAAGATATTTTTATACACATTTACTTCTTTGAATAAGTGATTCTTTTACATGGTTCAAAACACACACACACACACACACACACACACACACACACACACACCACATATATGTATGTCTCCTTTTCCTCTCCCTTATTTGCTCAGTTCCCTAATCCCAAATAGAAAACCCCTTTTTTAGGTTTTTGTTTATCTTCCTAAAATGGTTCTTTTTTGTTTGTTTGGTGTTAGGGGACAGAACTCAGAGCCTCCAGTGTGACAAGCACTGAGCTAAAGCCCCAACCCCTAACATTGTTCTTATGCTTGCACAGACTAAAAAAGTCTTTGTTTTACTCAAGTTTTAATGTAAACAACGTTGTGCTGTACACATGTTCTGCACCTTTAGAGTCCCCCCTCCCTCATTTAACACTAAGCTCAGTGACATTTTCCCATCAAGTGGAAAGTAACCTCATTTTTTTATTTCATTATGACTGCAAAATATAACATGGTAATTCCCACAAAGAAACATTAAAGTTGTTTCTAGCCTTTTGATATTACAAATAAAAGTATGGATAGGGCTGGGAAGGTGGCTCAGTGGTAGAGTGCTTGCCTTGTATGCATGAGGCCCTGGGTTCGATTCCTCAGCACCACATAAGCAAAAAGAAAAAAAGCCGGAAGTGGTGCTGTGGCTCAAGTGGTAGAGTGCTAGCCTTGAGCTGAAGAGCTGAGGGACAGCACCCAGACCCAGAGTTCAGGCCCACGACCGGACCCAAAAAAAAAAAAAAAGTATGGATATAAGAGTCTCTCTATGCAGCCTAGGCTGGCCTCTTGCTTCTGCCTTCTAACAGCTAGGATTATAAGCATGTACCACCACACCTGGCATCGAGCTTGGGCTTCGAAGACCGATGCACAGGTGGGAAAGACAGAGATTGAGCAGTGTGAGAAAAAGCCTGTTCTGGTATACTGTTTTACAGTAAGACAGTAATAGATAATAAATGTTTTGTGCATGTGTGTATAAATATTTTTTTTCATTTTATTAAAAGCTAGAAGAGGGGCTGGGAATGTGGCTTAGTGGTAGAGTGCTTGCCTACCACGAATGAAACCTTAGGTTCAATTCCTCAGTACCACATAATCAGAAAAGGGCAGAAGTGGCACTGTGGCTCAAGTGGTACAATGCTAGCCTTGAGCAAAAGAAGCTCAGGGACAGTACCCAAGCCCTGAGTTCAAGACCCAGAATTGAGGGAAAAAAAGAGTCTCAGGGACTTCACTGCCTGGGATGGGTTCAAACTGCCATCCTTAGATCTCAGCTTCCTGAATAGATAGGATTACAAGTGTGAACCACTGGCACTTGGCATTCATTTGTTTTTTATTTTTTATTTTTTTGGGTCCACTTCGGTGCTTGCCTTGCATGCATGAGGCCTTGGGTTCGATTCCTCAGCACCACATAAGCAAAAAGAAAAAAGCCAGAAGTGGCGCTGTGGCTCAAGTGGTAGAGTACTAGCCTTGAGCTGAAGAGCTGAGGGACAGCGCCCAGGCCCAGAGTTCAGGCCCCACGACCGGACCCAAAAAAACAAAAAAAAAGAGTCTTACAGACTGTCCTGCCTGGGCTGACTTTGAACTTTGATCCTCAGGACTGAGCTTCCTGAGTAGCTAAGATTACAATGTGAGCCAGTGTCATCTGGCAAGTGAGGGCAGTTTCAGAAGTAGTAAATAACATACAATGGAACAAGCAGTGTGCCCTTCAGCTCTCTGGCTTTTTCCAGTGATGATTGTGATCACCTAAAACTAGGCCTTTCTCTCTAGGCCATGTAGACACTGCTGCACAGCCAGGAGAGGTGGGAGAGGAAAGTGAAAGAGGCTGGCAGTGTTCCCACCTTCACTTTGGGCTCAAACAGTTTTTCAAGGTTGGATGCTCAACCCAGCTCTCTGAGTCATGAAGAATCAATTGTCATCCTTTGTGTGGCTAAAGTGGGGGAAGGACCTGTGCTGGCTGCTTTCCATATTGTTTTTCCATGGAGCAGGGGAAACAGAGTCAGCCCTGAGTGGAAGCTGGCCTTACAGGGAACCGGAGTAGTGGTCCCTTAACTTTACCTGAAGACATCGTTAGCCCTGGTCCATCTCAGTATCCTTTTCAAACTGTGCAGACAGTGTTGGATTCCTCCAACTCAGAGGCCTGCAAGTAACTCTCAAAGAATGCGTTTTGTGATAGAAGAAAACCGGTTTGCAGGAAGGGAGGGGAAAAGGTTAGACTCCCCCAACTTGGTCCTACTTCTCATTTGGACCCCTGAAAGTCTAGGTACATTCTAGAAGCCTGTTCAGAGAGACAGACTGGGGTAACTGGACTAGCTGGTCACCCACAGAGATTCTCATGGTATCAGCTCATCCCAGAGATTAGTCTGACTGGTTCTCAGCCTTGCCTGGCTGAGTTAGCAGCATACAAGGACTGGGTCAGCTGCTGAAGGCTGATTTCCTAAGCCAGCCAGCCAGCAGTATCACCCTGCATGTACAGCAGGTTAATACTTCATCTCCCATGCACTGGGCTTCCTTCAGTCTTTTCCACCGCACTGTGACTCTCCTTCCTCTTGGGATGGCAGGACAATGATGCATCTTTGCCTCAAAGTTCCACTATAAAGCCGAAAGCTGACAACAGAAGACAGGATTTAGAATAATCAGATGTAGTATCCTTCCCTACCTACCCAGACTAAGCCAGGCCCTTGTGACTCTTTCCTATAATCCTAACTACTGAGGAGGCTGAGATCTAAGGATTGTGCTTCCAACCACTCCAGGCAAGAAAATCTGTGCAATTCTTTTTTATTTTTTATTTTTATTTTTTTAGTAACCATCAGTTTATTATAAAAGGGAGATAATGGAAATTATTTACATGATGAAAGATCTCAGAACTTGCATGGAATGTGCAGCTTCACATGATGCCATTTCAGTGATATATTCACTCTACAAACTTCCCAAGAATGTCACCATCCCTAAATAAGAAATAATCCTTGTCATCTAGAACTACTTTGGTGCCTCCATATTTATCACCCACTTTCACACTAACTGGCTGAATCTCTCCACCCTTTCTTTTAGAGCCTGATCCCACGGCCACTACGGTGGCTTGCAATACTTTTCCTTGAGACTTTTCTGGAAGTGTAATGCCTCCTTTGGTTACAGTTTCGGCTGCACTCCTTTCGACCAACACCCAGTCAAACAGAGGAAGAAACTTCCTAAATGCTTGTCCTGCCATGACTGTCGGCGATCGCTACTTGGACTCGGCTCTCATGCCGATGCTCCAAGAAGAGACCCGCAATCGGGCTAGGGGACACCCAAATCTGTGAAATTCTTATGTCCGAGATAACCACTAAAAAGCCTGAAGTGGAGCTTTGACTCAAGTGGTAGAGTGCCAGCCTTGAGAAAAAAGGATAAGGGAGTTCAGGCTTCAGTACTGTCACAGAAAAAAAATAAAGTTTTCTCACGTGGGAAAACACATACAGACTAGAGGCATGACCCCAAATACCTGTGAGGGTCTGCGCTTATCTCTAGCTCCATACTCAAGGGAGTGCAACAGTAAACAGCAGGTAAACATCATGACACATTGTGAGATATTTGAAGAACAAAGCTTTCCCCCCTCCTTTTATTTAAGAAAGAGAGAGAGAGAGGAGAGAGAGAGAGTGCAACAATGATGTAGCTGTAGCTGACGGTGGCAGATAAAACATTCCCAAAGTAGATAGCCAGAAGTCTAAGAATATTCTGAGGTATTGTGGCTTAAGCAGAATGTCAGCCCTGTCCAAATTTGGAATAATATTGGGGACTATTTCAAGCCATGTGAAATGTCAACACCTGTGGCAGAGAGCTATCCACAAAGCAAATATGTAGTAGCTGCACATGGGACGAGAAGAGAATCGGACTCACTAGAATGGGATTGCTGGCTATGGGACTGCATTGGGAAGCCCAGGTAGAAAAGGTGCTGGGACTGGTCTCTCCCTAATCTTCACATCACAACAATCAAAACTCCTAGATACCTTCTTTGGCAAGAGAGCTGATCCCCCAGCTCTTTTATGTTAGGAGTCCCCAAATTCTAGTATTTTCAATTCATTTCTCAACAGTGGTATCTTATTTTTTTTATTTTTGATTTTAAAGAGTGTTTACTATAAGGGTGTCTTTTTGACCCCCTTCCCCCAATATTGGGGTTTAAACTCAAGGCCTTAAGCTAACTGCTGAGCTATGTCTCCAGCTCATGCTTTTTATTTTATTTAAAAAGCAACATATTTAGCTAGGCTCATGCCTATAATCCTAGCTTCTCAGGAGGCTGAGATCTGAGGATTGCTATGTGCAGCCAGCTCAGGCAGGAAAGTCCAGCAAAAAAGCTGGAAATAGAGTGGTGACTCTGGTGGTAGAGCACTAGCCTTGAATGAAAAGGTCAGGACAGCACCCAGTCCCTGAGTTTAAGCCCCAAAATTGGCACCATAAAAAGGTAGATGTTGCCAGGTGCCAGTGGCTTACACCTGTAATCCTAGGTACTTAGGAAGCTGAGATCTGAGGATCACAGTTCAAAGCCAGCCTGTGTAGGAAAGTCCATGAGACTCTTTTCTCCAATTAACCACCAAAAAACCAGAAGTGGTGCTGTGTGTGGCTCAAGTGGTAGAGTACTTACCATGAGCTGAAGAGCTCAGTGACAGTGCCCAGGCCCAGAGTTCAAGCCCCCTGACTAACAACAACAACAACAACAAAAAACGTAGATCTTTTATTTTACTTTGTATATGACTGGCCTGCTTGTCTCTCTGCCTGCCTGCCTGCCTTCCTTCCTGCCTTCCTTCCTGCTTTCCTTCCTTCCTTCTTCCCTTCCTTCCTTCCTCCCTTCCTTCCTTTCTTCTCTTCCTTTTTATGGTACTGGAGATAGATGGAATTCAGAGACTGTGCTTGCTAGAAAAATGCTTTATCACTTAAGCCATACCTGGATCCTGTTGATTTAGTTTTTCAGATTGAATCTTGAACTTTTTCTCAGGCTGACTTCTGAGCTCCATCCTACTATCTCCACCTCCACAATAACTGGAATTATAGGAATTAATCTAATTGGCTAATTTTCCAAAGTCAGACATTAAGAGTGCTAAATTGATTCTGGGCACTGGTGCCCACACCTGTAATCCTAGCTACTCAGGAGTCTGAGATCTGAGGATCATGGTTCAAAGCCAGCTGGGGTAGGAAAGTCTGTGAGACTTTTTTGGGGGGAGTCTGGTCGTGAGGCCTGAACTCTGGGCTGGGTGCTGTCCTGAGGGACAGCTCTTCAGCTCAAGGCTAGCGCTCTACCACTTGAGCCGTAGCGCCACTTCTGGCTTTTTTCTTTTTTCGCTTATGTGGTGCTGAGGAATTGAACTCAGGGCCTCATGCATGCAAGGCAAGCAATCTACCACTGAACCACCTTCCCAGCTCTCTGTGAGACTTTTTTTTTTTTTTTTTTTCTTGGGTCCGGTCGTGGGGCCTGAACTCTGGGCCTGGGCGCTGTCCCTCAGCTCTTCAGCTCAAGGCTAGCACTCTACCACTTGAGCCACAGCGCCACTTCCAGCTTTTTTCTTTTTGCTTATGTGGTGCTGAGGAATCGAACCCACGGCCTCAGGCATGCAAGGCAAGCGCTCTACCACTGAGCCAACTTCCCAGCCCTCTGTGAGACTCTTATCTCCAATAAACTACCAGAAAACCAGAAGTGGTGCTGTGGCTCAAGTGGTAAAGTACTTGCCTTGAGCTGAAGAGCTGAGGGACAGCACCCAAGCCCCCAGAGTTCAAGCCTCACGACTGACAAAAAAAAAAAAAAAAAAAAGCAAATACAAGAGTCTTATGGACTCTTATGAGTCTTATGCCTCAGCTGGCTTTGAACATTCTTAGATCTCAGCCTGCTGAGTATCTAGGATTATAGACATGAGCCACAGGTACCCTATAGGGTCTTGCTTTTTAACAAAATTGCTTCAGGGGCTAGGAAGGTGGCTCAGAGGTAGAGTGCTTGCCTTGCATGCCTGAGGCCCTGTGTTCAATTCCTCAGCACCACATAAGTAAAAAGAAAAAAGCTGGAAGTGGCGCTGTGGCTCAAGTGGTAGAGCGCTAGCCTTGAGCTGAAGAGCTGAGGGACAGCGCCCAGGCCCAGAGTTCAGGCCCCACGACTGGACCAAAAAAAAAAAAAAATTGCTTCAGATATTTGTCTTATTGTTTGAATTTCCTATTCCTATTTATTTGCAAGCACTTCCTATCTATGGCCTTAACTTCCAGGAATAATAGGTTTATGCAGTCTTTTAACTTAGTCAGTGTGGAATGTCTCCAAGCCATGTGATCTGATAGTAATGAATTAGGTCATCCTAACTATAATACCAAAATCTCATTAATTCAATTTTAGTAATCACCTAATATCTGCTAACAATTGTGAACATTTACTGAACTTGTACTAAATACTTAATATGCTATTAATCTTCAAAATTATCCTATAAAGTGGGCACTGTTATTAGTTCCATTTTATAGATCAAGACACAGAAATAGGAGCAAGTAATTTGCCCAGTTACACAGCCTAGTAAGAGATGGCATGCAGATCTAAAATGCAGACCTAGCCAGACACTGGTGGCTCACATCTGTAATCCTAGCTACTCCAGTGATCTGAGGATCTCCAGCCAGGGCAAGAAAGTGAGATTCTTATCTCCAATGAACTACTCCCCCCAAAAAAACTGGAAGTGGAAATGTGGCTCAAGTGGTAGAGTGCTACCTTTTAACAAAAAGAAGCTCAGGGACAGCACAAAGGCCCTGAATTCAAGCACCATGATTGGCACAAAATTAATTTAAAGAATGTGATCTATCTCATTATTAAGTTTTAAAGTATTACATATTGAAATAACACTACTTTGGGTATATCTTTTTTTTTTGGTAGGTCATGGGGCTTGAACTCTGGGCTTGGGCGCTGTCCCTACACTCTTTAGCTCAAGGTGCATGTTCTACCGCTTGAGCCACAGCGCCACTTCTGCTTTTCTAGTGGTTTATTGGAGATAAGAGTCTCTTGGACTTTCCTGCCTGGGCTGGCTTTGAACCGTGATCCTCAGATCTCAGCCTCCTGAGTAGCTAGGATTACAGGCGTGAGCCACAGGCATCTGGCTTTTTTTTTTTTTTTTTTTTTTTGCCATTCTTGGAACTTGAACTCAGAGCCTAGGCCTTGTTCCTGAGGCCTGACCCCAAGCTTCTTTTTTTTGTTTGTTTATGGTCCTGGGGCTTGAACTCTGGGCCTGAGCACTGTTCCTGAGCTCTTGAGCTTAGGGTAATACTTTACCACTTTGAGCCACAGTGCCATTTCCGGTTCTCTGGTGGTTAATTGGAGATAAGAGTCTCACAGACTTTTCTGCCTAGTCTGGCTTTGAACTGTGATCCTCAGATCTCAACCTCCTGAATAGCCTGTAATCCTAAAATGAAGGCTCCCTGAGCTTTTGCTCAAAGCTAGCACTCTACCACTTGAGCCACAGCACCATTTCTGGCTTTTTCTGTTTATGTAGTTCTGAGGAATCGAACCCAGGGCTTCATGCATACTAGCAAGCACTCTACCACTACGCCACATTCCCAGCCCTAAAATACCTTTTTTTCCCCTCCCTGGTTCTGGAGCTTAAACACAGGGCCTGGACACTATTCCTCAGCTTTTCAGCTCAAGGCTAGCGCTCTACCACTTAAGGCAAGCACTCTACCCTGAGCCACCTTCCCAGCCCACCCTCCTTTTTTTTTGGTCTGTCGTGGGGCTTGAACTCTGAGCCTGGGCACTATCCCTGAGCTCGGCAGCTCAATGCTAGCACTCTACCACTGGAGCCACAGCACCATTTCCGGTTTTCTGGTGGTTAATTGAAGATGAGAGTCTCCTAGACTTTCCTGCCAAGGCTGGTTTTGAACCACGATCCTCAGATCTCAGCCTTCTGAGTAGCTAGAATTACAAGCATGAGCCACCCACGCCAGGCTGAAAACACCCTTTGTGGTCCCTGAATTCTCTTCCTCAGTTACATCACACTGTTGGCACCTTAGAAGTTTGAAGTTAAACTAAACTTTTCTAGATTTTTAAAATTTGTTTTGAGTTTTTGTTTTGTTTTTAGGCAAAGTCTTGTTATAGAACCCAAAATAGCCTGTAACTTGCTCTGTAGTCTAGCCTGACCTCCAATTTATGATTTCCCTACCAGCTTCCTGAGTAGGATTACAGACCTGAGCCATCAGTGTCAGACTAGAATTTTGTTGTTGTTTCTTTTTTTCTGT